TTTGGGAGGGACACAATTTAATCCATGACAGAGAGAAAGTCTTCCCCTGGAGCTGGCACCCTGAATTCAGACTTCTAGCCTTCTAGACTGTGAGAGAATAAATTGCTGTTTGTTAAAGCCATCTAGTTGTGGTATTTCTGTTACAGCAGCACTAGATAACTAAGACACACAGCAACTAATGCAAGCAGAACTTGAGTAGCTATAATCCCTGAGAGAAGGAAACACAGCAAAGTGAGCTCCACATTCACCATGGATTTTTTTTCCTGAGGGTATTGTCTTAGGCTGGGTTCTCTAGAGAAGAAAAACCAGTGAAGTGTATATACACACACACACATATATATACACATATGGTAGAGGGGAGAGAGGGAGGGACTGAGAGAGAGATTTATATCAAGGAAATGGCTCACACAGTTATAGAGACTGGGAAGTCCCAAGTCTGTGGGTCAGGCTGGAGGCTTCTCCTGACTCACGTACCTGCAGGGGCTGGTGAACCCAAGATCTGCAGGTTAGACAGCAGGCCTCTGGCTTGTAGGCTGTGGAGGCTGACAAATTCCAAGATCAGCAGGTAAGCTGCTAGCTCAAGTCCCAAGAACTGGAAGTCAGATGAACAGGAGTCAGCTGCAGGATCTAGAGAGAGCAAAAGCCAGCAAGCTTTGCCAGAAAGTCTATCTATATTGGATGCAGGCCACACTCCCAAGGAAACTCCCTTTCAAATGACTGGTTACTCATAACAGATCTCATCATGGAGGTGATCACATTATATCAGATCTCATCATGGAGTTGATTACATCACCACACAGCTGCCAAACTACATCACTGAGAATCATGGCCCAGCCAAGTTGACACACAACCTCAACTATGACAGGTACTCACCAACCTGTAGAGTGGGAGAATACAGTCCTAGAAGAAAGCAGAACTTACACTGGATTGAGAAGACAGAAGCTGGAATTTTAGCCTACCAAAGCAGCTGACCTAGAGGAACAAAATCATAAAGAGCAGGGAACTTCAGGGAGATAAAGCCAAAAATCTCTTTCCTATTTCTACTAAGCTGTGCATGCCAAAGGAAAGATTCCAAGAAACCCAGAAGAAGGCATCAGCTGAGAAGCTATGGAGCTGAGCAGAGATTTCAAGAGCCATTAATGCTGGGAGATAGAGGTTAAAGTTCAAAGTCTTCCAAGATGGAGTGGCCCTGGTTTAAAAAACAAAACACAACCAAAAAAAAAAAAAAAAAAAAAGCTTTCAGTTGAGTCTGCAGATGGGCCACATCATCCTAGGAATAAGTGCAAAACTGAAATAGAACAGGCCAACAAAGGCTAAAACTAACCCTTAACCAGATTAAGGCGATTTTCTTGTATTCTTCTACCTACAGCGTATACAATACACAATTTTTAGTATCCAACCAAAGATTATAAAGTAAGCTAAGAAAAAGGAGTAAATGACTAAAAAAAAAACAAGACAAAAAACAGACGGTGAGTTCCTTGGTGTTACGGATTGTATTGTGTCCCCAGAAAATGTGTGTCAACTTGGCTAGGCCATGATTCCCAGTATTGTGTGATTGTCTACCATTTTGTTAGCTAGTGTGATTTTCCTATGTGTTGTAAATCCTACCCCTATGGTGTTAATGAGGCAGGATTAGAGGCAGTTATGTTAATGAGGTAGGACTCGATCTACATGATTAGGCTGTACCTTGAGTCAATCTCTTTTGAGATATAAAAGAGAAAAGCAAGTAGAGAGACAGGGATCATCCTACCACCAAGAATGAAGAATAAGGAGGGAAGGGCGTCCTTTCGACCCGAGGTTCCTGTGCTAAGAAGCTCCTAGACCAGGGGAAGATTGATGACAAGGATCTTCCCCCCAGAGCCGACAGAGAGAGAAAGATTTCCCCTGGAGCCACCACCCTGAATTTGGACTTTGAACCTCCTAGATTGTGAGAGAAAAAATTTCTCTTTGTTAAAGCCACCCACTTGTGGTATTTCTGTCAGCAGCACTAGATAACTAAGACGCTTGGGTTTTCATTTTGCCTGCTATATATCCTGGACTGGGTGCTAAAGAAGCCCTCAGGCTGGAAATAGCAATGGGCACAGACAAGAAGAGCCCCCAAGATAAGCCTGATCTCTCTGGCCAAAGGACTGGGAAGGGGGCAGCCTAGCAAGATAGAAACCTTTTGACAATCTCATTCCTACTCCAGCCAAACACAACAGAAGATAATCCTGTAACCCTCCCCTCTTGTCAGCAAAGGACAAGTGGGGAACCTGAGCTTTCACTCCTGCCTGGTGGTAATGAGGTACCCCTTCCCACCTCTGCAGCGTGGTATCTCTGGAGGCCAAGAGGGGATCCTGAACTTCCATACCACCTGGTGGTTCCCTCTCTTCTCCTGAACTGTTGCAGTGTCAGAGGAGGCCTGCTAAAGCAGAAGATTTAAATAAAAATCAAGAGTCTCATAATATCCAAAATATCCAGAATACAATAGAAGATCACTAACCATACCAAGAACCAGGAAAATCTCAACTTGAATGAAAAAAGACAATCAACAGATGCCAATGCTGACATGACATGACACAGATGTTGAAATTAGCCACCAGCCAGGCGGCCCTCTCTGTCCCCAGATTTTAGTAACTGCTCCACCTCTTGCCCATGCCTTAACGGTGGTAATAACTACCTACTACCAGCCCTAGGGTGCTGTACTATCCCTTGTGATTTCACTATATTCTGCCCACACTTTTGTAAATAGCCCCTTTATTAAATCCTACCCAAATTATCCAATTAGAGTATACTACCTATTTCCTGTAGGACTTACGTATAAAGGCCTGATAAATGCATGGTTCTTTGAAAAGACTAATCAAATGGGCTCTGGGCATAAGAAAAAGAGAAGGAAGAGATAATAAAGTCTGGAATAAAAAGGGGAAAGAATACAGATAAAGCATGGATTTTTAATAATACTCTTACACAATGAACAACTTTATGCCGATAAATTTGAAAACTTACAAGAAATGGACAAATTTCTAGAAGATATATAACTTAAAAAACAGCCTTAAGAAAAAATTGAAAACTGGGATAGATCTACAACCATTAAAGAAACTGAAACAATGGTTTAAAAAGTTCCCATAAAAGAAGGACAGTCCTTAGATGTTTTATTCAGCAGATGTAAACATTTTTAATGTTTTTGTTTTTTTTTTAAATCTGGTTCAACAATCCTGTTTACCTGTCTGTACTTCTTACCTTATAGTAAACTCTAAGAGGTCATGGGTGGCATCTGTCTTAGTCACTGCTGTACCCCAAAGCCTAGCACAAGGCCTGGTTAAACTATGGCAGGAAAGCTAGAAAATCTAGGGAACATGTGAGACTTCAGACAAGGGTAGGTAACTTTCACAAAAGCTACTAGGTCCTGAGTGAAACTTCAAATAGCCAGAGTGGGGCTGTGCTCTTGAAGATTGATCCCTGGTCTACCTGCTTTGGTACTAACTGATACAGGAAGTCCCTTAAGGATGGAAATGTTCATGTAGAAATGGCTCTCCCTATGACCTGGTCTCTACAACAACTTAATAAACCACTTCTGGAACACTACAGTTCACCCGTTTGGCCCTTTTATTAAAATGCTGACGTAACTCATCAGGAAATTCTTGAGAGAAACAGCTAAATAACATTACCAAAAAGGCCTGAAGCCAATTCAGATCTTCGAAAAGTTTTTCAGCAACTTTCAAGCTACTTAACTCTCTCCTCCTCATGCCCCGCATCATATGGTCGTGTCCTATAGAAAGACTTTTGAAACAAATATTTTCTTTTGGAGGTACCAAGAATCATGGCCCTAACCATAACTTGCATTTTGATATGGAGAAATTAGCTTAGTTTTCATTTTTATTTAGAAGTTTTACAAAGTCATTGGGCTTCAGCTGAACGCTAGATGTAGGCATAGAATCCAGATCACTTAGGGGTTAGATGAGCCTCATGTGGGTCTTAGGTTTTGACCACCAGCCGTACTGTAGTACCGATGACTACCAGCGGTAGATGAACCTCAGCTGGGTTTTAGGTTTTGACAACCAGCAGCTTGTTTACATTGGTTTTATTTTGATCTTACTCCTGTGCTTCTGGACCCGTTTTCCATTAGATTGTCTTTCCATAAGATTATGTAATTCATGCAAAAGTCCTATTACTTTGAAGTTCTGGTTTGTAAATTCATATGAAGTCACTCGTCAATTAGAGCAGGGAAGCCAGCTTAAGCTCACAGGACCCAGCCAAAGGGAAGCATCACCAGGTGGAACACAGGGATTCACAAGTGCACTGCCCTGAAGAACCAAGTACTTGCTTGCTAGGCAACCTCCTCAGGATCCACCTAGGGCTTTCCTAGACAATTTGGTTGGGGCAAAGCCTAGGAATTAAATTTTATACAGCCTCACAAAGTTCCTATGAAAGGTGTGGAAAACAGGGATCCTCTTTTTAAATATCTACCCTCAAATTTAAGCGTTGCCACTATAATTTGCAGTCCCAAGTCCTGGCATCCCTTTGAAATCAATAATTGTACTCATAACTATGGATGGTTAGATATGCAACTTCTTTCTCTTTGCCTTTCAAGGATTTTCTCTATCGTCAGACTATGTTCTCCAGCTTCTACCAAGATGCAGTGGTCGAAGGGTGCTGGCTCTTTAACAGGAGAGAGGGGGAGGGGATGGGACTCTTAAAGCCAAAGAAGAGCAAACAGGCCCTGACCCAGGTTGCCGTGACCAAACTACGCAGGATGGCCAGCAGCAGTCAGGCGGTGGGTGTTAGCACCAAGGCAGCTTGTGAAATTCTACCACTGGCACAGATGGTGGCTGGTGGTGCCTCTGTGAGATATGCTTCTCCAACTCCTAGTCCTGTCCCTCATTTCTGCCCTTTGCAGGACCCTTCCCTGGAGCTGAGCTGGGGAGGTTAGAGGATGGGGGTTTATGGCAGTATCACTCCGTGAGACCCTGGGCTAACACTTCACTGAGGAGGGGTGTGTCTCGGTATCTTCCCTGTCCCAGGTTTACCTTCTAGAGGCTGGCAATGCTCTCTCGCTGGAGGAAACAGCCGTGGAGGGTGTCCACCAGCCTGCCAAGATGAAATGCCTTGAAGGTATCACCAAGTTGGGGGGTGGGGCTTGCTGGTCTGGTTCAGTAAATGAACATGGGCTTGGGTGTCCGTGTCCAGAGGGCGGAAAGTGATTCCAAACACTTCCACTTGCTAGCTACATCACTTTCCTGGGCTTTATTTTCCTCATCTACATTCTGAAGTTATCAGTAACAGCTTCTTAGGGTTGTTGTGAGATTTAAATAAATTAAAACAGGTAAAGTATCTGGCACACGGTCAGGTTAAATTGTAATGAGTCACGACAACTAGAACTTGGTCCGTTATAGAGGCACTAGAAAGGACTGGGGAAGCAAAGGCAAAAAGAAGCCTAACGAGGCAACTGACGAAGGGATGTGGATAGTGAAGGCATTTGGTACCTGCCACATTTTGTTTGCTCCAGTGGGAGATGGTTTGGGGCATCCTCAGGAAGCGAAGCTGAGTCAAACCCATAGGAAGTGTTGTTTGAAGGTGGTGCTGGAACTGGCTTATGAACAGAAGTGCTGCTGAGAAGCAGCCTCTCTAGGTGCGACTCCTCACACCTGAGCCCCAGTCTTTACTTCCTCCACAGGCCCATGCTTAACAGACCAAGGACCAGGCAAGCATTGTGGCCCCCTGACTCCTGAGGAGGAGCTGGTGCCTGCCTCCCAATTGGAGGAGGAAGAAGAGGTAGAGGAAGAAGAGGAAGAGGAGGATCTTGATCCAGATCGGGCCCCAGACCTGGAGGAGGAAGAGAATGATCTCAGGGATCCAGCTGTGCTCAGTGCTGTCCATAACACCCAGGTGTACCACGGCAGGGGGGCGGTATTTGCGGGTTGTCCTGAGCTGTCTGCGCCTCACTGACTGTTGCTGAACCCCCCTCTCTAAGACAGGTTCTGGATTCACAACTTTCAATTTCAGGTTTGAACTTGAGTAGGGACTATCTCCTTGCTTCCCTTGCTCCTCCTATCTCCCGCTTTGTTTCTGATACTGTTATCACCTAGCAGGGCTGTGCATGGCCCTGCTACTTGGTGCTGAAAGTAAGACATTTTTGCCTGACCCTGGTCCCCCCGTGTCTCAGCAGTCCATTCCTGGCACTTATTCCCTCAGATTTCCACAACCAATGGAGAGAGTCAAGGACTCTCATGTAGTAAATGAGGTGACTCAGACCCTCCTTCAACTTCTTCCCGAGATACCAGCCTTTCTTACTCTCAAGGGAAAGAAAGGGGTCCTGGCCCAGTTGACTCTGAATGTGAGAGAGTGTTAGGCTGCTGCTGTCCTGGGTATTGGCCTGCTGGCCTTGCTTTTGCTCCCCAACTCTTCCATGGACACAGGTGTGTGTAGAAGATACCACTGGGGTCCATTCCAGCCTGGGTTTCCCTTCCTCCCTTTCAGCGAGGATTTCATGGCTCCTCTAGAATCAAGGCCCCTGGAGTGCTGGGGAAGTCGTCCACCTCCTTGCATTTTCTGTGGCAGGTGAGTCTGCTCCACTCTCCATCCTCTGCGACGGTGTCTAGGTGCTCAGAGATTCCATCCCTGAGCGTGCAGGGCATCCTTTATTTCCATTAGGCTCAGTATGCTCCTAAGCTTGTCTGCAGATAAAAGCACCCACAGCGAGGCGTGGTGGTGGGAATAGCCCCCATCACGTAGGAGAGCTCCGTAACTGACAGGGGTGGTGTGTCCAGTCAGACATGATGGACCCCTTAGTAAATGGTCCTGGGACAATTGGCCATTCAAATAAAAAAAGCCAAAACTAGATCCCTACCCCCACCTTACCAAAGATCCCAGCAGACGAGCAGCACTGAGCTTAGGGCTAGAACGAGCACCTGCAGTTCAATTAACTGTGTAATGGGAACATAGCCTGGGATAGAGGAACTTGAGGACGGGGAAATCCTGCAGGGAGAACAAGAAGGGAACAAAAGCTCGAGGAGGGCTTCAGAGCAGTCAGAGAAGTGACAGACGGAGCACTGCCCCAGTGGCCAAAGACACAATCAGAAGACTATCATAGAGGGAACAGAGAGGGGTTGACTCACCAGACAGTAGGAAAAGCACGTGCCTCCACATTTGTGAGGGACTGCACAGCTGATCTCTAGGAGTTGACAAACCCTGTTTAAGCAAGTGGCAGGAACCACAGTCTGGTGTACTCACAGCTGACATGAGGGACCCCAAGAAGGCAAAATGTTGGGTGAAGTTCTTGAGGGGAAAAAGCAGGTGAGAATATAGAGGCAGGAAAGGATCTGAGTCTTAGCAGCAAGAACACATCCTGTTGATGGAGATGGTCCTCCCTCAGACCTCTTAACTCTTCTCTCAGACCCTGAACTACCCGTCACCAATTTCTTTCCAGCCTAATGCCAGCTCTCCACTGAGGCCCTTTGGACTTCGACTGCCCTCATCAGACCCATCTCTCTTCTACAGCCCACCGACCTCATGGTCCCCTGCGTTCAGGTATGGGTTCAGTGTGTCAGGGACTCCAGCATGCAGGACAGGCTGAGTTCTTCTCTGGAGGTCTAATGAGGTAGTAGCTGAGGTGGGAAGGGGCCACTCTACCAGTTTCCACAGAAAAATATACTTTATAGAATTTTAGTAACAGAAATCTAATATTCCAATCCCTTCTCCCTCACTGATGAGGAAATGAAGGCCCGGGGAGATTAAAAATTAACTAAATGTCAGCAAGCATTATCAAAGTTCATCTAGCATTACAGAACTGAGACCACAACTCCGAACTCCTGACAACTGGGCCAGAAAGCTTTTCACTGTGCCAAGATTTCCTGCAGCCAAATTGCAGGAAAATATATCCTGGAGGGAAATGTGATCCCTCCTGAGCTAGGATTATGTTGTTTCATGGAGGTGACATCCCCTTAGATGGTCCAGCTGAAGCTACCAGAGGCTGAATGAATTCAGAGCAGCTTGAGAGCTTCCTTCCACCCAGCCCCCCCTTTTTTTTTTTTTAAAGTCTTCCTAGTCATCTGACCCAGCTCCATCCTTGGCACCAACGGATCTTGCAGCAGCAGCAGTGTGATCAGAAGCCGAGGTTAGAGCCTAGACAAGGAGCAGGGCTGAGGGGTCCTGTGTGCATGCTGGGTATTCCCTTGTGACCAGGCATAAAGTCCCTGCACAATGAAGGCTGTCATACTCTTGGCCAACCCTGTGCTCTGCCCATCCTCCCCTGAGCACTCCACTCCTGCTCACCATGCTGGGAAGTTAATTGTGGCAGGGGTGCATAGGTCTAACAGGATGCTTCTCTTGGATTGAAGTCCCCCAGCCAAGAAGCCTTGGTCTCAGCAGCCAGACCCCTATGCTAACCTCATGACCCGAAAAGAGAAGGAGTGGGTGATAAAAGTGCAAATGGTTCAGCTGCAGAGTGAGATCCCTCACTTGGATGACTATTACTATCAGGTGAGCCCCAGGGCGCTCTTCTCAGCCTCTGACCTTGGGGTCAGGTGGGCCTGAACTCCATGGGCATTCTCTGCTCTGCTCTTACGTAAGAGAGACATTCAGGCAGGAGAGGCGCCATATTTCTTAAGTTGACATCCCAGTCTCATTCCCCCTGATTCTCCTACACTTCAGCCAAATGGGATGATTATTCCCCAAACACACCCTGAGGTTTCGTCTCCCTCCTTTTGCCAAGATTTACACCTACTCGGCCTGGAAATAATGGACTTTTCCTCCTTTGTACACTTTTGCGGGTCTTAGAAATGTCTTTTTATAAATATTCATCTCATCTTTTTCTTTAGCTCTGAAACATCTTATAAATAGTGGGACTCAATTTGTTAAATTGCACAAATACTAGCAAACATTTTGACACATTTTCCCTTGCTTCCGTCTTCCCCTTCATTTATGTTGCAAAAGTTGCTTGTCACTTTATTGGGTTGTCCAGGTGGCGCAGTGGTTAAAGCAACTGGCTGCTAACCGAAAAGTTGGTGGTTTGAACCCACTGGGTGCTCCACAGGAGAAAGATGTGGCAGTCTGTTCCCTAAAGATTACAGCCTTGAAAACCCTATGAGGCGGTTCTACTCTGTCCTATAGGGTTGCTATGAGTTGGAGTCGACTCAACGGCAATGAGTTTGGCTTTGGTTTTAGGCTGTTTCTCACTTTTCTTCAACTTCCATGAGCCCTCTACTGAGGTCCCCACCTTGATCTTCCTGTTTATATTTCTTCCTTTCTTTCTACCAAGCTTCAAACACCTCTCCTCTATCTGCCAGGATCATTCAAAGTGAAGTAGTTCATGTTGTCCTCTTGCCTCTTCTGGCATTGCTTTTAAATGAAGGAGCTTTATACAAGCCCTTGTTTGACTCTTAGCAGTTTCATTCTAGCTTGGGGTGCTTCAGACTTCTTTTAAGAAGATAGTAGAGCCCGTGAACAAATCCACAGAAATAAAAAACTAGCCTGAAGGCCAGTTGATAAATACATTCCCAATGCTATTTCTGTATCTCAAGCTGCTAGTGGTCTTTGCAGTATAATTCCAACGTTGAAAGCACAGGAAGGATCACAGAAAATTGAGGGGGTGGCGGAGGGAAGAGGTGGTATGCGGTATATGTGTATACTTGGAAATGAGAAATAACAAAGTTGCAAAACCTGGAACAGGTTTGCTTTCCTGGTCCTCTGCTTTGCTCCCTGGCCTGTCAACAGATCTGGTGGTGGTATCTAGCTCTCTAAATACTTGGGTTGGGAACTCCAAGACTGTTGACATGGGGCCCATGGTGCTTAAGACACTTTACAATGACTGTTGGAAGGGCCTAAGGTGCCTGGATCACTCCGGAATGAATGCTGTGGGAAAAGGGTGTGTTAAGAGGCTGCATTTGAGAACCCTAATTCTAAGTTCAGAAGATGAATGTTTTTCTATTCCATGGATTCTCAGGAACATTATCAGAAATTAGAGAAACAGGCAGATGAAGAGCTACTTGGGCAAAGGAGCTGGGTTGAATCTCTCAAGCTGGTAACTCCTTACATTCAGAAGGCAGAGGCTTACGAGTCAGGTAGGACCAGTGTTGACCTGCTAGGCTGGACATCTGGGTGGACTGAGGGTGAAAAGGGGAGGGGATTATACCTAGCCTGACTGATTTCTTGTAGTGGTTCGAATTGAGGGTTCCCTGGGCCAGGTAGCCGTATCGACATGTTTTAGCCCTCGCCGAGCTATAGATGCTGTGCCCCATGGAACTCAAGAGCAGGTAGGAGCATTATATTCTCAAACCACTCTTCTCTTGTTTGGGGGGAAGATCTGGAGCACTCTCCTGTTTCTGAGCTCAGACTGTGACCTAAGAATGAGGAAGGACATAGAAGTCTGATCAGACTTCGTGTCTAGCCTTTCCAGCACAATTGACCCTTGCCTGATGCCTTGGGTTGCTGCTCTGGAGGTGTGTGTGGCTGATAGTCGGGGACTCTTTTCTCCTAGGATACAGGGGCTGCAAACAGTCAGAGGCTTTGGGTATTATATCGGATTGAGAAGGTGAGATATCAGTTCCTTGTGGATAAATTCCTAACTGACCTTTGACAATGTGATATCATTCAAATTTACCTCTTTTCCCGCCCTCAAATTCCCAGATGTTCCTTCAGTTACTAGAGATAGAGAAGGGCCAGAAAGATGGGTTTGCAAAGCCCTCATCCTCTGAGCAGCAGAGTATCCAGGTTGAGAAGCTCTTCCAAACCTTGATGACCCAGGAACAAAATAACCTGGAGTGAGTATGAGAGGGCCACACGTTGGCACAAGAAGGGAGGGATAGGCAAAGAAGGTTTGCTTCTGCCCCCCACTCTCTAGCCTGTAGCACTCTCCTCTATACAGAGCTCTGAAAATGCCCCCCACCCCCCGACTCGCTTGCAGGGAGGCGGCAGATGGCTTCCTGCAGGTACTCTCTGTGAGGAAGGGGAAAGCCCTGGTGGCCCGGCTTCTCCCCTTCCTGCCACGTGATCGGACTGTTAGCCTTCTTCTGGCTATCACCCACCATCTTCCTTTCCTGGTCCAGAGGGATGTGGCTGATCAGGTACTAGGAAATGAGTGGAGAAG